CTGCATCACACGAGCATCCTGATGCCTGTGCTCCGCTAGAACAGGGCCACCCGCTCCAGGTATGCCCTCACGGGGAAATAAAAGGCAGATTTGGAGCTTGGTGTGTATTTCTCAGATACAGCAAAGGTAGCAGGATACATTCCACTGTTTTAAAAACCCCTGGTACCTGCCACATACCAGTTCTTCCCTACTTTGTGCTGGTGTGGAGCAGTGGCTGGTTTTCCCCTGCCAGGCTGCTCCAGCAGCACTGACCCAGGCTTGGCTTGGGGGCAGCGGGATGCAGAGGTGGGGTGTCCCCATGGGGAACAAGAAAACCCACAGCCCTCACCCGCCATGCACCCATCCGACACCCAGCACAAGGCTTGCAAGAGCAACATTCCCCATCGCTCCTTTAGAAAAACCCGGGGGCACAGAGCATCTGCTGTTAGGAGCCGCCGGCTGCATCAAGAATTTTGCTGTTGGGGAGAGACAGGAGAGAAGGGGGTGGCTGTCGCAGCAGCTGTTCCCTGCCCGCAGCTCTCCCGGCCATGCAGGGCATTTAAATTTTAAAGCACACACACCACGGCTGTTTTCTCCACCGTCCCCATCCAGCTCACAGAGACCCTGTCCAGGGAGCCGCCAACCCACGAGGCACCCATGGGTTCGCTGGTGGCCAAGCTCCTTCTGCCCACCATCAGCACCTTGGTCTTCCTCCCCACCATCAGCATCGCGGCCAAACGGCGCTTCCACATGGAAGCCATGGTTTACTTCTTCACCATGTTCTTCGTGGCGGTAAGATGTCCCCATACCCTTCCCTGCGTGTTTCATCCCCCCGATTGCCCCCTGCGTTGGGTCTCCACCGGGAAGGGTAGCGGGATATCACCTAACAGCAGTGAGCATGACCCCCCAAAATACCCATTTTCAGTTATTTCCCACTGTGTGCGGTGCTGAGTTGCTGATTCTTCAGTTTAGGATGTCCTGAGGGGTGGCCTTACATAGATTTAATGGTGTTTTATGATTGTGAGGTTAGGGAGAGGGTCTGGGTGCAAAGAGACTTGATTGATTTGCAGTGTTTGGAGCTGGTTTTTCTCTTTGTTTTACAGCTGGTAAGTGGCCATGCTGAATTTTGGGTTGAAATTCTATCCAGAGTCTCTTGCTATGCTTCTGTCATTTTAGCCAAAAGCACGTAGTTGAATTATTGATTTTGCAATTGCTAACTGGTGATGGGAGCAATGCTGGAATCAGAGGAGTTTCTGCACTGGGAAAGGAAAGACTAAAGCATGCTGCTGAGCCATCAAGAAAAATAATTATTAACCCTCCAGCCTGGCAGAGTGGTTTGAAAACGTGTGTTTCACCAGGCTTAGAGTCACTCTGCCTTTCCTGCTGTGGGAATAAAGAGCGGAGAAAGTCTGTTGTCTTTACATATACAAAATAATTCATATTCCTGCTCCCGGCAGTAAGCTGCCCTGCGCTTTGTATTGCTGCTAAGTGCCTCTGTGCACACACGGATTGAGCATCTAAAGCAGCATGCCCACTGGAAAAAATCTCCTATTTAACCCCACGGCAATGCTCTGCTAAAGAGTGTGAAGGAAATAGCCCAGCAACCCAACCAACATTGCATTTACCTCTTCTCCCCACCCATCTCAAGGCATCTCATGAGGGTTGTCACATCCCTTGCACAGAGAAAGGGAAACTGAGGCAGGGTGTAGATAAAGGACCTTCGTGGTGTGAAAAGCTCTTCCTCAGCAGCAGGGCTCTGAACCAAGCCAGTCTCTTATTCCTAAGGATCCACCATTTAAACCTCCAATTAAAGCACAATGCAGGGGGAGAAATTCTGCCAGTTCCATAAAAACTACAGGACTAGTTAATAAAAACATCCCAACCGAGCCCCCCCTCAGCTCCCCGGGGAAGCCAGACATCTACAATTTCATTTTGCACTGGTTTTGTGTCTGCTCCACCTCCCCCAGAAGTCAATAGGAAAATTGGCATGTGTTTCGATGGGAGGTGGAACAGGTCCTCGCCGAAGAGATTGAAAAGGCAAAATATCTGTGTGTGGGGAAGGGAAGGAAGGGAAGGCAGCTGCCAGCACGGTCGGGAGGGTAGGAAGGGCAGCAGCTGCTCCTGTTGCCTTTCTTGTAGCATCCCACTCCTCCTCCCCCAGGACACCTCATCAGCACAGCAAAAGCATATGTCCATCGCAGACAAGTGCTGCAACACCGGCCAGAAATACGCTCTTTGTCTTCCACCCTTTCTTCTCCCTGTATCCAGTCTGCCCGAACTCAGTCTTAAACAGAGAAAAGAATTACAGCCGTGGTGCAATCTTTTCTAGAAAACTGCAGCGAGCCAAAGGACTTGCAGCAATTCTCATTATAAATAATATCAGCATCCCCGCTGGGCCCTGACAGCGAGGATTGTTCCAAGGGCATCCTGCCAAGCAGTGAAGGGACTTCTTCAGAAACAGCGAAGCACGCTGGTGCTACCACTAGAAAAGTTGCAGGGCTGAGTGCTGGGAGGAAAAGGCGAGTGCCAGGCAAACACTGGGAGCATTCCTCTGATTGCACTGGAAAATTTCTTTTGGCTTGGTTTGCATTTATGTTGCACGACAATGGGTTTTTGCTAATAGCCTAATCAATGAGCTAATGGGCAGGAACCAGAGGCTTTTAAGGGAATGCACTAATGAGTGAATTCCCCAGCATTCAGACTCTGGCCATATAAACCCTATTTAGCCCGGACAGTGACCTGGCATCCATACACATTTCATCAGGGCACTCATTTTGAATTGTTTTACAAGAATCTTTCGCAATTAGAACCATAACCCCAGAGTCCTCCTTCTGCCGAAGAGGACGTCCCCGCACCGCCTGGGGCTCGGCTCAAAGCAGCTTGGTCATCAGCTTGCAAATTCTGGCACAGACCAAGGGGCAAAGTAAAGCTCATCCACAAATAATTTGTACTAAGAGAGAAGAATGCTGATTCTCAGGCAATTTGCAATTGTGAAGGGTGACATGATCTCTCAAATACATTCATTACTGCATATCAGTGACCCTGGTGTATTTGAGACTGTTCTGTTCTGGCTGGCCATGCTCTCAACAGCCACCCAAAGGCTGTTTCAAACCAGTTGGTAAGTTGTGGGTAAGGAACTAGTTTTCTAATGCTTTTTTCTTATTTCTTTTTTTTTTAATAGATTTACCATGCATGCGATGGTCCTGGCTTATCAGTGCTGTGCTTCATGCGCTATGATATCCTGGAGTACTTCAGCATCTACGGAACAGCTCTGTCCATCTGGGTGTCCCTGATGGGTAAGCACTGGTCTCTCCTGGTTCCTACCCAGCACCAGCATTTGCAGGTCAGGCAGGATTTGTCAGCATCGCTGGTGGGACAGTTAATGGGTACAGTCCCCAGCAATGCTGTCGCCATCGAGCTCCCATCTGGAAAACTTAGCTCTGAGACTGCCTTTTATGGGAGTCAGCCTGTGCTATGGTTTAATCCATTTTTATATCATTAATGCCTTGGAAAACCATTGCACTCGGTGAGGTCCAGACACACATGAGTGGTGGCTGGGGAAGTTTTGCTCTTGGAGATAAACAGTTCTGGTACCCGGTGTTTGTGTCGGTCAGGGGCTCCTCTGCCTTCACCAGCTCTTATGCATGTCCTTACATCAGCAGCGTTACTTGTTTCAAATTGGCAAGTAACACATGCAGCCTTGTGCTTTGGTTCAAGGCAGGACAGTGCTGTGAGATGACTTGGTTTGAAACCTCATATATCAGGGAATCTCCCATTTCTCCTCATTTTCCCCATACTGAGCCCATCAGCTTGTCTTGTCCTGACTTGGGGGCATTAAGAAATGCAGAATCTGCCACTTCCCTTGGTAGTATGCAAATCAAAGTGGTTTAGTCAAAACAAACATATCTTCCTAGTTTATCAAAAGCCTAGTCTGGGATGACGGGAAGTATTAGATCTGCTTAGAAAAGCAGAAATACATTTCACTTCCTTTTTATTAAAAATTCTGACCCTTGCCCTGTTATTCAATTTTACTTTTCCCACATTCCCTTCACTCTCTTTTTTCTCATTTTGTTCTTCATTTGCCACTGAAACAAGATACAATAGAAATGTAAAGAAAAAAAATGACAGAACCAAAGAAGGATGAAAACTTCAAACCTATTATTTCCCCATTTTCTCAACATGTTTTTTTTTGAAGGATGTGAGTGTTTCTGACAGGAGAAGAGAGTAGGGTAAGGGGAGAGAGATGAGGGGACAGGCACTTTCCAACAGCAAAGGCTTTGCTCAACAGATTCGGACCATCTCTAGCAGCCACACACCCAGTCTCAGCTCCAGTCAGGCAGGGTCCCCAGCCCTCCCGGTGCTGAGCTGGGGTCACCATGCTGATGTACAGCCCCAAAATGCCCACAGGACTTTCCCGTCTGCCCCTCAGAGCTCCAGGGATGGTGCAAGACCTCCAACCAGGACGGGGGGGCTCGTGCAGCCCCTGAGCCCAGCACGAGCCATGGGGCAGCATCCCCTCCGGCGGGCACCGGGCCATCCCTCCTCCCTTCGCTGCTGAGCCATGCAGACAGCAGCATCCCCTTCCAGGGCATGCGATGGGATAAATCTTCCATGCAGGGGAAAATGAGTGGGGAAAACATTAACCTTAGAAATGGCTCTGTTCCCCCAAGGTGCGAGTCCCAAGGTGGGCTCCCACACTGTTCATGGCACTTCAGTGCTCTCTCTGCTCGGCTGGAAAAGGCAATTAGGCAAATCATCTCCGAAGGGCATTTTCAGTAGATAACAGCAGTGTCAGGGTAGGTCAGAGCTGATCCAGACACTTTGGCTCCTCGCAGCAAAATTCAACTTGATTGCTTCATTACTGCATTGAAAAACCTTGCAAAAAATTACAAATCCTGGACTACGATGTTTAAAATACTGACCCGCAGGGGAACAACAGAGATTAAAATGCGGACATTATCCCTTAGCCAAACTCCCTATAAAACCACGATCCAAGGACATGGAAGGTGTGGTGACTGAAGCCCAGGGAAGCCTCTCGTTGTGGCTTGTAAAGCCCGAGCACACATGTGCGGACGCAGACCCTCGGGCACGCTTCCCGGAATGCAAATCCAGGACAGCCATAACACAGCTGTGAGAGCTGGAAAAGCATGGAGCCCACTGGGATCCATAACTTTTATCAGTTATTACCCCATTCTGTGCTAAACAAAAGCCTCTAATAATTTACTTGCACTGGCGACTTCCAGCTTGCAAACCTCAGGCAGGTGCCGGCACGGCCAGGCAGCCCGGTCCCCATCGCACCGCCGAGCGTGGTCTTACCGGAGCAGTGTGATGGGGGCTGCATCAGGGTGAGCTGGCAAGTTTGGGAGGGCTGGAGATGTAGGATGAGCCCAAGAGCCGATGGCAGGCTCACATCTTTGCAATCACCTCCGACTTCTGGGTTGAGGCAGGAAAGGGAAATACGGGCAGGAAATCTCCTTTAGCTTCCATGCGCATCACTGAACAGAAGACCCCTAAAGTCATCTCTAGATCCAGCATTCAGATGCCTCAGGATGGTTTGCTTTGCCCCCGTGTGCCTCAGTTTCCCCAGCTTTGAGGCATAAGAAGGGCAAACCAGACCTGGATGCAATGCTGAGCGTCCCCGGGGCAGGCAGGACAGACGCCGGTAAGGTTTTGAGGGAGCAGCCGAGGAAGGGGGTGGGTGAGCTGATGCTCCGTGTGCTTGGTGCCACGCAGCCCTGGCAGAGTTTGATGAGCCGAAGAGATCGACCTTCGTCATGTTCGGCGTCCTCACCATTGCCGTCAGGATCTACCATGACCGCTGGGGCTACGGCGTCTACTCGGGACCCATCGGGACGGCCGTCCTGGTGATAACCGTGAAATGGGTACGTAGGGAAGGGCACCGTGCCGGGGATTTGCAGAATGCTCGCAGCGGGGAAGGGGCTGAGCCTCGCACAGAGGGGTCCGACCTGTGCCAGCGTTCTGCTCTTCAAGGTCCAGCTCTCGCAGCACAGGCCATCACGGTGATTAAACAGCCTTTCTCCTTCAACCCGAGCAGAAAGCAGGCAGACAGCAAGCAGCCTTTGTGATAAACGCCAGATTCGATCAGTCTAAGCAATCTACCACATCTCCTCTCCCTGCATTTCTAATCAGGAGGAACGTATTTAAGGAGTTTTTACAGCCACTCAGAGGCAGAGGGGTCTGGTAAACTGCCCCGAAACCGGTGGAAGAGGTGCATAAAACGTGGTGATAAAGTGGGAAGGAATCTGCCTGTAGTCTGCCTGAATCTGGCTGGGACAGTCGGGCATCACGCTGCAGCCTGTGCCCCGCTCACAGCTGATGCTCTCGACCCGGGCAGGAGCGCGGTGGTGGAGCCACTGGCAGGAGCAGGCAGGGAGAAGGATTCAGTGACAGGATAAAAACCGCAGGGAGATGCTGCCAACCATCCTGGGAATACAGCGACACAAGTCCCAGCTATATACCGTCACTAAGCCCCCTCTAACTGCCCGGCCAGCTGCGAAAACAAGTGGCCATGATGGGGAGGGGATAGGCAGGGAGGGGACCAAGGCATGGGACCCACAGATGCTGTGCTGGGATCCCCTTTCCCAGAGACTGGGTTTGTGAGGGCACACACTCCCTGAGCTGGGTTTGGGGCTGAATATTAAAAAAATAGCATTATGATCAGGAATGAAGCGGGAAGACCTGTTGCGGCACACAGGCAGAGGTGCTTCTCACGTGCCGGCAGACGCCGCAGCCTGGGGAAGTTGGTCTGTGGGCTTTGCGTGGTTTTGTTTCAGCATTCATGGGATCTTTTGGATGGGGAGCAGCCAGCTAAGTCTGGTTGAATACGCTTGGTGTGCTCTCTCTTTCCTTCCAGCTCCAAAAGATGAAAGAGAAGAAGGGGCTCTATCCAGACAAGAGCGTCTACACCCAACAGATTGGTCCTGGCTTCTGTTTCGGGGCATTAGCACTGATGTTGAGGTTCTTCTTTGAGGTACCTGTCTGCACACGCAATCACCCTGACTTTACAAGGTGTAAAGGACATTACCAAGACAGCAGGACCCCCCCCTTCACACCGCTGGGCTGCATCCAGCCTTGGAAAAAACCCAGCTCAGGTGTGGGTGTGTGGGGTTGGTGTGCCGGGGTCTGGTGGCAGGGACGAGGGTTCATCCCTGCTTGTGCCCACCCCAGCCCCTGGCCCTTAACTGCGGTGTGGGCAGGGACAGATGGGACAGCAAGTGACACGCAGGGTGATGCTCACTCTCTTTTTCCCCCCATTTAAGTGAGTCACAAGGACATGGGCCATGCTTTCTTCAGCCCTGCGTGGTCCTCAGAATAGCTTTGTCAAATGCAAGCAGGGTTTTTTGGAAACTGGGCATGGGTGACTTAAGGACACCTCGCAGAGCCACGGCAGGGACTGGATACAACCCAGGCACGGCCGGATCCAAAACTGGCTCACGCCAAAGAAAAGACTCTCAGTTGACTCCCAGGGGCACTCGATCCCGTGTTTACAACCTTTTTCTCTCGCCGCTGGCCAGTCCACCCGTCTTCTGCAAAAGGGTCTGTCCGCCCCGCGCGGGGAAGGCGCCCCTGCCCCCCGTGCCGTCCCCCCCTCCCCGCCCCCCCGCCGTTACGGCTGCTCTGTGCATTGGGAGCCACTAGATACAACCTCACAATCATCCCCAAGGATTATTTTTCAAAGCATTTAGTAATTGCAAATTCTAGCAGAACATAAAAATGTCACTTAGCAGAAACCGCCTCCCCCCGCGCCTCGGCCTCGCCGCCGCGTCCTTTGCGGGGTAATGAAACACTTCATTCAAGAATTGGGAAATGTGCAAATTGGAATGTGTTAAATCCACTTTGCTTTTTTTTTTTTTTTTCCTAAGGCTGGAAATCCTTTCTTCTCTGACAGCAAAAAGAGGCGGAAGGCTCAGGAATTTTTTTTTATTCCTTTCCTTTTGGCTACTTGTAGAAACCTAATGTTTTGCACCTAAGGCAGAGTCCCCTGGCACCGCTGCTCCCGCGGCCCCGGCGGCTCTCGCTAACGCTCTCCCCGATCTCGCGCTAACGCTCTCCCCGCTTGCAGGAGTGGGATTACACCTACGTGCACAGCTTCTACCACTGCGCCTTGGCCATGGCCTTTGTGCTGCTGCTGCCCAAGGAGAACAAGAAGGCCGGGACCACCGGGACCCCTGCCAGGCTCGACTGCTCCACGCTCTGCTGCTGCGTCTGAGTCGCCCGGGCAAGCGGGGCACTCGCTTTTTGGCTCCTGGGGTGATGGAGGGGTGCAGCCAAAAGCAAAATGCCTTCTTGCTGCATTTTCCTCTGGGGTATCGGCGTCGTTTCCCACCAGCTCTGTGCACACCCCGGGATTTTCTTCCCTGGAAAGTCTTCGCCTTTCCACCATCAGCCCTAGCAGAGGTTACCTCTCGTACCTCTCCCTGGAGAAGGACTTGGCTGGGCTGTGACCCTGTCCCCTGTCCCAGGAGACCCTTGCAGTCTCGGGCAATGTCACCACCCGGGCTGTCCCTTGCACCGGCCAGGAGGACCCGCGTTGTCCCCTCCGTGCTGCTTTGTCCAGCCTGAGCACACAAGGATTCGTTTGCAACGCCCAATTAACAGAACCTGTATTTTTGTGAGATATTTACTATTTTATTTATGCATTTTCTTGATGTAAATAATATAAACTAACAAAGACTTTGCAAGTGCGCGACGCCAGCATTTCTTAAGCGGTGCAAGAAACTTTCCAGCCTAGCTCCGCTCTGGCGAGGGCAGACGCCAGCCCCAAAGCAGAGCTCGGGGCACGGCCACCCCCTCCCCTGCCCACAGCCCCCTCCCCAGCCTGGAAGGAGCTGCAATATTGGGCACTTTGTCCTTGCAGAGCTGCCCGGGCGGCGCAGGCAGCAGGTGCCTTCGCGGAGAGCCTCCTTGGTACGGCAAGGACATGGAAAATCAGAGGCAGAGCAAAGAAGCTCCTGGAGGGAGGGGGAGGGCTGTAAGCCTATAACATCTCTTCTAACAGACTATTTACTATAGCAGAAGTGTATGATTTATTTAGACTGTCTGGGAAAAACGCCAAGACTATATGTCATGGACAATTAGAGCAGTATTGATATACAGTGATGTCCACAGAAAGCCCACATTAAGCCTGGGTTCCTCTGGAAGAGAAATCCACCCCAGTCATTCATCAGAGCAACTTCCTGCGACAGGGCAACAACCAAAACTGAATGAGCTTCCAACAAAAATATAAATGAATTATGAATCCTCGAGCATCCAAGAGTCACTGGCAAGTGGTGGCACAGCCGTTGCAGCTGCAAGCAGAGGCAGCGCTAGCAAAGAGTTTGCAAAGGCTTCACCAGCACCTAAACCAACCCAGCACACCAGGTCTTTTTCAGCATCCAGCCCCCAGGATGTTTTGCGAGATGCGCTGAGTGCAACACTTTCTCCATTGCTTGCACGCTACTTTGCCAAGTGAGGACTGCTCAGGGCATCCCCAAAAAACAGTCCCAAGTGCTCTGACTCCTAATTCAGAGCTGAGTGCAAGAAGCACCTTGGCACTGCGTGCAAGAGCTGGCTCCGAGGGTGTGCAGCCGCTTCCCAAGGGGTCACCCACACGGGTGTCCCGCAGCCAGGGCCACGCTGGCTCTTGTTGAGCCACCCTGAGCACGTCCCCAATGGGCAAATACTCAACCCTGACCCTCCCCGGGAGCCTGACCAGCAGTGCCAGCAGTCTCCATCCCTCCGCACACCCTTTGCTGCTTGCTGCAGCCGCTGATCAGAGGCACCCTGACCCCCCCAGCTCATTTTGCGACTGTTCAACCCCTCCTAGGCTGCGGTGACATGCATCGCCCTGCAGCAAGCCCCGGCAGCTCACGGGCAGCGTGGGCATGGGGAGAGCCTTGTGCGAGTAAAGCCCCGGGAGGAGAGGCACTGGGTAACTCCATCGCCTTAGTGCGGCTGAGCAGGAGGGAATAAAGGTTGGCAAACCCCATGCAAACAAGGAGGGCACATTAGCTGAGACCCAACTGAGTAAATGAAAGCTCCTGCTCCCACCTGCCATGTATTCAGGTGTTGCACCCAAAAAATAACCCCCAAAAGTGTATTGCATACAATAAAATCCCAGGCAAGGTTTCCTTTTTCTCATCTCCCTGCTGATGCCCTACGGCGCTGCTCTGACCGTACAAACCGTCCATCCCTTTGCACCCCGGTGCAGGACCAGCACCCACCCTCGGGGCCCAAACACAGCCGGGCACGTCCGCAGGGTCCCCGCCACCGCATCAAGCCCGGTGCCGGCGGCAGCACCCGCTGCGGCATCACCGGGCACCCCGACAGCGGGAGGAAGGCGCACGGGCTGAATTCGCTCTCACCCGGACAGGATATCCCCTGCAATACAAATGCAGGGAAATATTATAAACATTTACAGCAACGTAGACAAAACAGTCTCTTGTAACCTTTTAGCGCTGCCGAGAGCTTTGCCTGTAAGAGCTCTTGAGCTCCTGCCAAAAATTCTTGCTGTTTTCATAAGAGTAGGTGTTTTCGTCTAAGGTGCAGTCTGAGTGCTGTGACCTTTGTCATGTCTGCTACTGAAATTTCCTGCTTCTCTGTTATTCTCTTCTTTGGTAAGACGATATGAAACCCAAAACTTTTATTGCCCCTTTTAAAGCGTCTTTATAGCTCCCCGTCTACTTCATATACTGTCTTATTCTCGAATGCTGGGATATTACTTATGGGATCCAGGCTTGATGCTGCAAAAGGCATTTGGGTTTCATGAAGCCCAAACCGCCTGGGCTTTTTTAAGATCAGCCCAGGAAGAGGGAAGAAAAAAAGAATGAAAAAAGGAAAAAAGGAATGAGAGGGGATGGACCGGGCTTTCCGCTCCAGAGGCATCGGCATCTCCTACCAGGGCAGCGGCAGAGGGCAGCGACAAGGGCGGGCAGGAGCCTGCCAGCCTCCCTCCTGCTCTGCGATGCCTCCCCAGGCACAAAATCCCATTTGCTTCGTGTCTGGGCCAGCGTGGGGTGCCCGCTGGCCCCGTGGGGATGGCATCACATGGCCGCTTTTCCCGCGCCTCCATCCCCTGCCAGCTCTGCCCCAGAACTGGCAGTCCAGATGTGGCCCGACACCACAGCCAGTGCCGAATCCGGTGTGGAGCAGCTGGGGCACATCTGCTCCGGCGCTGGCACTGGGGGAAGCTGCGCACCCCTTTTCTCTGCTCGGTTTCAGCATCAGGACTGACCACACAAGGGATGTGTGTCCCCAGGCAAGGCCTGATGCAAAGCTACAATAGCCAGGCACCAGCACCAGGGCTTCGTGCTCCTATCCCACCTCTCGGGCTGCAGAGCATCATCTCCATCGCATATAGGGACCACGGTGACAGGGATCCCCTGGGACCTCGCTCCCCTCCGCACGCTCCCCAGCATCCTCACCAGGGGAGGAGTGGGGACCCGGGGTGCCGGAGGGGAGAGGGCTGGCCCAGGACTGCAGCCCCGCTGGGCATCTTGCAGCAGGCGCAGGGGCCGGTGGGCAGCGCCGAGGTGGAATTGTCCCCTCGGAGGACACACACATACCCTCACACTTGCCTACGGCAGGGCCGGGACGAGAGGGGAATTAGGACCTACTCCTGCTCGAGGGGAGGCTTCCAGAGATGTCTAGTCGGGCTCGGTGCCAGCTAATCTTCCAGGCAAACTTTATCCAGATCCCTTTGGCTGCAGAAAGTGAAAAACTAGCCAGACCAAAAACATAAAAGCCTGGTTTCTGCTGCCAGCTGTATGGGGCACTCCAGAAAACACCTTATCACCATGTGATTTTGAAAGACCGCTTCAGGTTTTTTTCCACATGCTGCGCTTCCCTCCTCACCCTCTCACTGCCGTTCCTCCATGCACGTTCAGGTTGTGAGCCAGCCTGGCCAGCCCTGCCTGGTTAACTCACAGACCATGAGGCCAAGGCTTTCCTTCTAACCATTTTTATGCCCTTTAGGCCACGGCGATGCTATCCTGCTTCAGAAAGTGCTGTTGCTCCATCCTGAGGCACATGCAGCTTATCGGGAGTGGTGATGCACAACCCAAGGAGACGCAGCCACCAGGACTACCAGACAAGTCCTGTCTCCTCCCTGGGAGGACCTAAGAAATCTGATTCCCTTGGAAATTCAAGAGGGGTGATTCCTTGTCCAGGTAGGGGCAGGAGCTCCGTGGGGAGCCCCAGGGAGAGGTTTTGCCCTGAGTTCCTCCATCGCCCTGCGGTTCTGATGTGCAGGAGACGTCTGTGCCCTGTGCCAGGGATAAACCAGGTCTGCGGGGGCAAAGGGGAGTCACCACCAATGTCCTGCACAGACCCAGGGCTCCACGGCCCTGGGACATGGTACAGATGCACTATGAGAAACCAGCCTGGAAAAAAAGAGGAGATGGAGCAACTGAAGCACCAATCTGGGACCACTTGATATCACTCAGCTTTTCTCCAGCTATCCCAGCCGCAATGCCTATCTTTTCCTGGTGCACAAAGGTCTCCTGCACTTCAGAGGAGTCGGGGGGCACCCAGAAAGAGCAGGGTGGGATTTGCCATGGCTGGTGCTGTTCTGCAGAAACATCACCTTTGTGCAGCAGCGCAGGATGGAGTTAGAGCAGATGCAACCGGGGGGTTCAGTAAAGTGGTGCCTCCTGCGTGGGTGCAAAGCAGCCTAACCCAGCACCAAGAAGAGAAAAAAAAAAACTATCGATGCATCAAGGTTTTGCTTGAAACACCACCATGCAACACCCCGGCAGGTTTCTCTTCTCCTCCTCTTTCCTCTCAGCCTTTCAGCAAGATTTCCAACCAAACTTTACAGCCCAGTTGGCACGGACAGGGCAGCCCCATCCCGCTGCCGCTCGGCAGCAACGGGGTATTTTCGTGGCACGGAGGAGCACGGCTACAGTGCCGCAGAGAGGCTGAGCTGCTCGGTTCCTGGGGGGGAGCAGGGGTCCCCTCCCCCCGGGCGCAACGGAGACGGACACAGATGACGGACTCAACCCAAGCGACCAAACCCCAGCGCCGAGTCCCTGACCCAGGGAAGGGCAGATGCAAAGCAGCCGGGCTCGCTCAGCTCTTGCGAGGATGCTTTCACAGCTGCAAAAAACCCGCTCCAGGTCCAGGTTCGGTGTCTCCAGCCTCCCCACTCCTCTGGCGGAGCGGTCCCAGGGAGCAGCGGTCCAAGGTTTCTGGTTTAGGCCAATCTCCCAGAAATTCTGTCATCATGCAGTGCATCACGCACACTCCCGGATCCG